GTGGAGTCGACTCAGAGAGTGGTGTGCTGTGTGTGTGCGTGTGTGGTGTGTGGGGAGCGGTAGTGTAGTGCTTAGCGTGCTGTCTGTGTGTGTGTGTGTCTGTCTGTGTCTGTCTGTGTGTGTCTGCGTGTGTCTGTGTGTGTGTCTGTGCGTGTGTGGTGTGTGAGGAGCGGTGGGTGTAGTGCTTAACGCTACGCTGCGCTACCAACCCGGCGAACCCAGTTCCATTCCCGCTCACGGCCACCACCGGTGACGATTATTTGAACCTCCCCTAGGTCCACTCAGCCTCAAACGAGTAACTGGTGTGGCGTATTAACATCGGCACTTGGGAGACAAAGGCGGCTGGGCGTGGTAGATCCAAGTCCCGGGCGAAGCCGGGTCATGTGTATGTGTTTATGTGTATGTCTGTGTGTCTGTATGCATGTGTGTATGTATGTGTGTGTATGTGTTTATGTGTATGTCTGTGTGTGTATGTATGTCGGTTTTTCCGCCGTGGTGGATCCAAGTCCCGGGCCAAGCCGGGTCATGTGTATGTGTTTATGTGTATGTCTGTGTGTCTGTATGCATGTGTGTATGTATGTGTGTGTATGTGTTTGTGTGTATGTCTGTGTGTGTATGTATGTCGGTTTTGCCGCCGTGGTGGATCCAAGTCCCGGGCGAAGCCGGGTCATGTGTATGTGTGTATGTGTTTATGTGTATATCTGTGTGTCTGTATGCATGTGTGTATGTATGTGTGTGCATGTGTTTGTGTGTATGTATGTGTGTGTGTATGTATGTGGGTTTTTTTGTATGTGTTTATGTGTATGTCTGCGTGCCTGTATGTATGTGTGTATGTACGTCTGTGGATGTGTTTGTGTGTATGTATGTGTGTGTCTATGTATGTGTGTGTATGTGTTTCTGTGTTTGTATGTGTGTGTATGTATGTGTGTTATGTGTCTGTCTGTGTGTCTGCATGTATGTGTGTGTGTATTGTGTATGTGTTAGTGTGTGTTTACGCTCGCATTACACAAATGTATAATGCGGGTCTAAGGCGTTCCTTACACAGCATTGCCGCTTTATTATTTCAGTCGTTTACTGCCGTATGCACCCTGAAAGTCGTGTGTGTCTGCAGCAAGCGCGTGTATGTGTACCTATGGACGCGCGCGCGTGTGTTGTGTAGGGGGAACGGTAGTGTAGTGCTTAGCGTGCTGCCTGTGTCTGTGTGTGTGTGTCTGTGTGTGTGTGTCTGTGTGTGTGTCTGTGTGTGTGCGTGTGTGGTGTGTGGGGAGCGGTAGTGTAGTGGTTAGCGTGCTGTCTGTGTGTGTGTTTCTGTCTGTGTGTGTCTGCGTGTGTCTGTGTGTGTGTCTGTGTGTGTGTCTGTGCGTGTGTGGTGTGTGAGGAGCGGTGGGTGTAGTGCTTAACGCTACGCTGCGCTACCAACCCGGCAAACCCAGTTCGATTCCCGCTCACGGCCACCACCGGTGACGATTATTTGAACCTCCCCTAGGTCGACTCTGCCTCAAACGAGTAACTTAACTACTGTAGCGTATTAACATCGCCACTGGGGAGACAAAGGCGGCCGGCCGTGGTAGATACAAGTCCCGGGCGAAGCCGGGTAGTACAGCTAGTACAAATATATTTGTACAAATAAAATAATAAAAATATATTTGTATTATTTTATTATTTTCCTTCTACGTGACTTTACCGAAAAAACCAAGAATAACGCTCAACTCATTCGTCACTAACACTATCTGTCTGGCCTCACAATATAACAAATCACACGCGACGTTTCGGGCAACGGCCCTTCGGCACAGCAACATCAAGCGACGACACACTTCGACTGAGACAATCGATTCCTGAATCGAAACTAAACAGAAACTGCGACAAGCTCCGCATCGATTCCTCTATCCCTTCCCCGCCGTTGAGAATCCATCGCGAATCGATTCGTTGGCATTACCAACATAATCGGAGTTTCGATTCCATCACCACAGCTGATCGTCGATATGGCTGCAACAGCGGGTGAGGTTTGCGCGCAGAGCTCCTGAGTTTTGAGTGTCGCTACGAATTTTCGCTTCTCGTTCGAAGGTTTCGGGGCGACACCGTCACCGCGCGTAAGCCTCGACTTTGATTCACAGCGGCTGTGGGACGAATAGCCTCGAACGAAGAGGCTCAGCTTTGGGGCAGGCCGCTAGCTAGTCGACGAGCTGTATAGGCCCCAATTGGGGCAGAACGAACTCAAGGGAGACGAACTCGTGTTTTAAAGTTCTACGGTTTTACAAACTCGTGGTTGGAACTGCAGTGGCCGGGTCAGCTGGCCTAACAGCAGCCTGCCTACAGCAAACGCGTCAATGAGGAGTGTGTGGTAGTGTAGTGTACTGTAAATTGAGTGGATTTGTGTATACACTGCCGAGCTGAATCTCGATTTAAAGTTTTCGTGACTGCAAAGGAATCCATACTCTTTGGTTCTTTCGGTAAAGTCACGTAGCTATAAATTAAATTAAATCACGACGTTTCGGGCGCAACACAAGTACCCGTCATCGGGTGGAACAACCACAGCAAGAAACAATTGCTGAAGTGGGCAAAAGGGGGGCTGCTCTTAACAAGAGGCTCTATAATCACACACATAGTGCCGAGCTGGTGCGGTAATTGACAGCTTACAAAGCACGGATCATAGAGCACCATGGTACAGCAGCGGTGGTACACCATGTGGACAGCTTAGCGAACAGAGTCGAGCTGATATAGCTTAGTATACACACTATAGTTGATGCAGCACGGGACCGCTTAGTGTGCACACTATAGCTGATGCAGCATGAAACAGATTAGTGTGCACACTATAGCTGATGCATCATGAAACAGATTAGTGTACACACTATAGCTGATGCAGCATGAAACAGATTAGTGTGCACACTATAGATGATGCAGCATGAAACAGATTAGTGTGCACACTATAGCTGATGCAGCATGAAACAGATTAGTGTACACACTATAGATGATGCAGCATGAAACAGATTAGTGTGTACACTATAGATGATGCAGCATGAAACAGATTAGTGTACACACTATAGATGATGCAGCATGAAACAGATTAGTGTGCACACTATAGCTGATGCAGCATGAAACAGATTAGTGTGCACACTATAGCTGATGCAGCATGAAACAGATTAGTGTGCACACTATAGCTGATGCAGCATGAAACAGATTAGTGTACACACTATAGCTGATGCAGCATGAAACAGATTAGTGTGCACACTATAGCTGATGCAGCATGAAACAGATTAGTGTACACACTATAGCTGATGCAGCATGAAACAGATTAGTGTGCACACTATAGATGATGCAGCATGAAACAGATTAGTGTGCACACTATAGCTGATGCAGCATGAAACAGATTAGTGTGCACACTATAGATGATGCAGCATGAAACAGATTAGTGTGCACACTATAGCTGATGCAGCATGAAACAGATTAGTGTGCACACTATAGATGATGCAGCATGAAACAGATTAGTGTGCACACTATAGCTGATGCAGCATGGGACAGATTAGTGTACACTAGCTGATGCAGCATGGGACAGATTAGTGTACACACTATAGCTGATGCAGCATGAAACAGATTAGTGTACACACTATAGGTGATGCAGCATGAAACAGATTAGTGTGCACACTATAGCTGATGCAGCATAAAACAGATTAGTGTACACACTATAGCTGATACAGCATGAAACAGATTAGTGTGCACACTATAGCTGATGCAGCATGAAACAGATTAGTGTGCACACTATAGCTGATGCAGCATGAAACAGATTAGTGTACACACTATAGCTGATGCAGCATGAAACAGATTAGTGTACACACTATAGCTGATGCAGCATGAAACAGATTAGTGTGCACACTATAGCTGATGCAGCATGAAACAGATTAGTGTACACACTATAGCTGATGCAGCATGAAACAGATTAGTGTGCACGTTATAGCTGGTACATTAGACAGCTTATAGTACACAGTATAGCTGGTACAGCTTAGTGTACACAGTATAGATGATGCAGCATGAAACAGATTAGTGTGCACGGTATAGTTCGTATTAGGCAGCTTTGTGTACACGTTATAGCTCGTACATTAGGCAGCTTAGTGTACACAGTATAGCTGGTACAGCTTAGTGTACACAGTATAGATGATAGGGCAGCTTCGCGTGCACGGTTTAGTTGATACAGCATCGTACGTCGTAGTTTACACGCTAGAATTCCTCATGCCATAGTACAGCTTGATTTATTTAGATAATTGTATAGCACAGCCTAGCACGTAGCAGTAAGATTGAAAATCTCTGTACACAGCATACCACACAGCATGGCATATCACTGCATGGTGGAGATTAATATACAAGGCATTGGCCATACAGAACGGCACGTACAGCACAGCATAACTTACCCTACCACATTCAGCAGAGTATAGCACGATAATTCTGTACAGCATAGTGTAGCACATAGAGCATGGAACTAAAGGTACAGGACAGCACACAACATAGCATACACAGCTTAGAGCAAAAAGGGAAGGCAGGCCATTGAGATTACAATTAGACACGGCATCTTGCAATGTGATACGATGAAAAGAGGCATCATGCAATTGGCTTGCATTACAAGCTCTCACCTGAAGATGGTCGCTTGTGTTGCGATCGAAACGTCGTGATCTATTATTTTTCTACCTACGTGACTTTACCGAAAGAACCAAAGTATAGTCTTACAGTAATTTATACTGGGAAGTATTTGTCAATCATTTGTAAATGCAGCAATAAAAGTATGTCTTTTGATTCTAAACCCCTCTCTTAACCTCTTGCATTTTTTTCAATATTCATGTAGTCTTGCAGGTCGGTGAATTGCCCCTGGAGACACTGCTGTGCCTGACGCAGTGTATAAGGGACAGTGCTGTGTTTGCATGACAGTGCATGGCACTGTTGTGTGGGATACACTGCTGTGTATGACACGACTGTGTGTCTGTGCACGCTTGTGACCCTGGCTCTTGTTTCAGAGCGCAGTGGGGAGCAGGATGGCCAAGGCACCCACCTTCTCGAGGGACACAAATTCATGGTGCCAAAGAGGGAGATCCTCGCAGTTCCAGACATGGGGAAGTGGAAACGCTCACAGGTAACATCGCAGAATCAGCCCAGTTGCTTTGATTTGGTGCTTTCAATAAATAGATCATCTTGCCGAGTGGCCTCTATAGAGTTTTCGTCATGCAATCAGAAGGTTGTGAGTTCAAATCGCAGTTTGAGATCAACGCTTTATTTTTCCAGGTTCCATATAAATACTGCTTTGTGCAAAGTCTGCAGTGGTTGTCTTGTGGACAGTCTGGTCCCTGGCATATGAATATAGATTTGTATTTATCAGCGTGGCCAATGGAGATAAATTTCTCCCCATTCGTTATTGAACGGGGAAACACTTTTGGAATTACACAAATGTGTAGATCACCAATTCGGTGCTGTCACACACACATTTCATGTGTGGCACGTGACATTGATCAACGTTGCACGCTCACACCAACACGTGGACGTCACACGCATTTTGGGCGAGTGATGTCCGTCACTTTCCCCTTCCCTAGGCAAAGAATGCGCAACGAAAATGCACACACCACACGCGGATTGGCCCACATGTTCACACCAGCACCTCCCACTTCTCCCCCACAGATTTCAATCTAACAGTAATACAATTTACCGATTGCAACTCTTATGGGAACAAACCAGTAAATATAATGTATTAGCAATCCCACCGCTTGACAACCCTGCCTGTTGCATCTCACTCAAGATGTTGGAGTCACGTCATCCAAATAAACATCCTGAACCCCATCGGACGAGCAGAGACTTATGCCTTGTCGAGAAACAGCCCCTTCGATAGATCTACGAATACCTTACCCAGCAGTAGATGGTGCTCCTTCATGTTCTGCAAAGAGTGATTCGCTGTGTATCTTACAGTGATATAAAATAATCACGTGTTAACATTAAGAGCTAGGATTAGCCAAGTGAAATGATGAACCAAATACATGTTTTTTTGTGCAAATAGTGACTGCTCTGAGACTCAGGTTTACTTAAATCTGCTTTGAGTGGCTGGAACTCAGATTCAAACCTATGATTTCATTGCTGTGATACTGCCATTTTGAGCTCTACTGAGCCAGGTGGCCACTATCATAATGTTTCCATTATTAATGAAACCTAAAACGTATATTGGTGCTTAATTATGACTGTCTCTTTTCTCTCTTGTATTCTCAGGCCTATGCCGATTACATGGGTTTCATTCTCACCCTTAACGAGGCTGTGAAGGGAAAAAAGCTCAGTTCTGAGTTCAAGGTTTCTGAGGTGAGCCTCATGTGTGTGTTTGTAATCGTGTGGGGAGTGTGCAGGTGGGTCTGCATGGATGGGGATGTCCATCTCGGCGTGTGTGGATGTTGTGTGCTTAGATCAGGTCGGTCAGTTGGTATGTGTGTGATTGAGTACGTGAGTCTTATTTGGTTGGGTGTGTCTGTTAGGAGGTGGATGCCTTCGTAGGTGCTCACTAACAGCACTTGCCCCAACAGACTGTTATGGCTATACAGGGGATCTTTGTTGTAGGGAGTGGTAGTGTAGCGGTAAGCACGCTGCACTATGAACAAGGCGACCCAAGTTTTATTTCTGCTCATGGCCAACACCAGTGACGATTTTCTGAACCGGTCCTGGGCCTCCCCTAGGTCGTACCTGGTGTAGTGTGTAAACATCGCCACTCAGGAGACAAAGGCGGTATTGACGGCCATCACCCTCGTGTTCCTTGCCGGCCTTCATAGAAGTTTGCTAACACCCCTTGCCCCCAACAGTCTGTTCAGGCTATATGGGGTATCTTTGTCTTTGGTGTGTATTGAGGAAGCAGTGGTGCAGCGGTCAGCACACTGCCCTACGAACTCAGCAATCCGAGTTGTATTCCCGCTCACATCGGTGACAACTATTTGTACCAGTTTTGGGCCCTCCCCTAGGTCGATTCGGCCTCAAATAAGTACTTGTTATGGTTTGTAAACACCAGCATTGGGCTGTCTTCCCTCTCGGCCACGCATTGTGCTAGCCACCCACCCTCTTGTGAGCCGTAGGTGCTCGCTAACAGCACTTGCCCCAGTAGCCTGTCACAAAGACTATATGGGAGATCTCTGTAGGTGTGCACAAGTGAGCGTGCACATGTGCTCAGCTTGAGTGTGCTGCCCTGCAGGCTGTGCAGCAGCTCGTGTGCCTGCTGGACATGATGGATCGCTGGATCGAAGAGGTTCCGCCTGTGGATCAGCCCCAACGCTTCGGCAACAAGGCCTTCCGCACCTGGTGCGCCCGGCTGGAGAAGGCACGCACACCTCGCTCGCATCACACCAATACTAATACCCGCCATTCGCCACTAAGTAACGGTGACGTCTCTTACACCACATATATACACACACGCACGTCACACTATAGATTACACAATATGCTACAGTGTACGTCACACATGTACACACACAAGAATACACCACAGACCACATGGCACATGTACACACGATATAATACATATTTGACGTTATAGCATGGGTATACTGCACACATGTACACGTACATCACACTACTCTACTAACAACGTGCACTTCATACAGATGTAGTTTCAGGGAGTCGGAGACGAGGTTTGTAGAGGCACCTTCTTTATTGAGCACACACGATCTCGCCTGCACACTCCACAGTCGCTAGCCTATACACAGCAATAGCCGTCTAACACCGACAGCACTGACGGAGACAGCCAACAACTCTCTAGCAGCGCAATATCGAGCGACGATGGCAGCGACGATGGCGACGAGACGACAGCAGCAACGAGACGATCCAATCCCAGAACCGGCAGCCTCAAGCTCCCGCTCTCGGCCCCTTTTATGCTACCAGCGCGGCCTGGCTCTTCTCTGGCCGCGCCTGCCTTCTCGAACCCACCAGCTCCTCCGCCCTGCTGACACACCCGCTCACATGCTCGCCCCGGCGTGTGTACTGTTTGTCCACCACAGTTGCCGCTGCTGGCCACCAGTCGGCGCTATTACACTACACATACACCACAACCATAAATAACATGCACACACACTGCACAGTACACTATATAATACTCTACAGGCTAAAATATCACACTTACACTCTGCACATACAATGCGTGCATGCATGCATACAAATAACACACTACATACACGCACAACACTACACACGAGATAATAGATGTACCAACTACACACACACATGCCACACATGTACATACACTATGTAGCAGATTTACACACTGCACATAAACATCCCACAGGCACACATACCACACACATTAAACGTGCATATGACAAACATACCACGTGCTTAATGACATGAGTGAAACGCATATTCAATTACAGACCATGGCCGATCGCAGTGAACATCATCCTAATATTGATCGTCTTTTACTCAGCCAGAAACCTCATCCAGGAGATTCGTGCTTGGGTTCAGAATCAGATTATTTTTAATCCTGAAGAAATCGAATGAGCTATGACACTCTATATCACAAATGTCCAGTAGGGGCAGATCAGAATGTTACAACATCAAACAATATAGTACAGGTAGTCCTCTACTTACGATGGAGATGCGTTACTACGACCCCATCATAAGTCGAAAATATTGTAAGTCGAAGATGGCCTAGCCTACCCAGAAGTTTAAAGAATGGTGATAATTTATCAAAACAGAGCAATTTACAGTACCGTACTGTATAAACTATATACTGTATGTATTTATGAATTACAATACTGTATTGCACAGTAAAATGTAAAGTAAAAAAACAAGGTAAATTCTTAGCCTACCTATATGAACTGCAATTTAATAGAAAGTTTTTTCAGGAAACAATCCTATCTGCTATAAAAACTTTTAACATGCATTGAACGTATCGTATCGTGGTAACCTTAAAATGAAATCGCTAAAGCTACGTATCATACATGCATTGAATGTATCGTAACGTATCCTGTTGTACTGTACTCGCCAAAATTCTGTCCGTCGTCTGCATACTTGAACGATGTTAAGTTGTTGATGGCAATTTTGTCGTATCGCCATCGTAAGATCGAAATATCGTAAGTCGGACCATCGTAACTCGGGGACTACCTGTAAAAGTAGAAGACGATTGATATGACTATGATGCTCACTGCGATTGGCCATTGTTTAGTTTGTTGTCATTCCCCCGTACCTCTAATTAGCACAGTTGGCTACATACTGTGTGAAAGTTCAATGTACATAGGAAAGGAAAGTAAATCACGTGTAATTTTTTGCATCTGGGAAAAAATGTAAGTGCCCGGAGAAATCCCACACACGCGAGGGTATAATGCTCAAAAGTCCGCACAGGTGGGTAGGAAATCTACTTCCCGTTCTCGCGTAAGGGCTGTGATAGAGTTGTGTGCGTTGCCGAGCGAGCGTGTGTGTGCGCGTGCCCCCGTGTGCTTTGGTGCAGGAGGCCCCGGCGCTCGTGTCACGGATGCTACCAGAGCGCCTGCACGAGGCAGTGCCCGAGGCCACCACGTACCTGCTGGAGAGCGTGGGCAATGCCACGCGCATTGACTACGGCACCGGTGCCCGCCCGCATTCACTCGCACATTTACTCCTCGCACTCGCTCCTAGTGCTTGAATCAGTGGTACGTCTACAAGCCAATTGTTTACGACAAGTACAAGGGTTGAGCAAAAAGTACCGGGACTACTTTTGTTCGAACAAAACTAAAGGACGATATGTCTAATTGAATGGATCTCCTTAAAAGTAGTCTCCTCCTGATCGAACACGGTGATTCCAGCGGTCCTGACGTTTGTCAAGGCATCTCTTTGGGGATGGCTTTCAGGTTCCGAGTTGTATTTGGATGATGGTTGGGCACATTCTGTGAAATCTCTTTCCTCTTAGGGTGCGTTTCAATCTAGGGAACAGGAAAAAAAGTTATTTGCCAAAATTGTATGTACAATTCATGAAGCATATGCTAATTTCCCCCTTTGGGGTTGCGCTATGGTGCAGTAGTTAGAGCATGCCACTGTGAACCCTGAATTTGAGTGTTGCCCATGGCTGACATCAGTGGCGGGCGATATCAGAACCGGTCCTGGGCCCCCACATAGACCAACGTGAGGATGCTTGGTTAAATAACCCCTTCTCACCGACACACAATGGCAAGGCCTTCATTCAACAGTGGATTGACAAAAGGGCTGCATGTTATTCGAATTTATTTACTTTTAGACTTGTGGAATAGAAAGAGACGACACAAGACAACGTGATTCAGGCAATACAACGGGATCGTTCAAACAAAACAAACAAGGATCGATTCTTGAAATCGTCATCACGAACCATGACGAGTCATGAAATCTCTGAGTGGCGGAAGTAAATTGTTGAAATTATGGGTCGGCAACCTGCGGCTTCAGAGACGCACGCAGCTCTTTAAGGACCGCTTCATAACGTTATTTATTAAGCACCCACCGTCTCGTATTCACATGCATTGCGGCTCTTGAAATATTTGGGTTAGCGAACTCGACAACACATTCCTGCGGAGGGAGCTGGTAGGAACGTTGGGTTGCTCGGTCAATGGCCAGGGTCAACGGCGGCGTGGTGTATTCCGCAAATATGGCCGACTGAGGGCGGGCACAAGCCGGTGTGAGTAGGTTAAACGTTGAGTTTTATAAGGGCACCACGGGGTGACCAGCCCCTCTCCACCCAGCCCCATCCCTCCCACCCGCCACCCAGCCCCACCCTCCCCACCCAGCCCCACCCCACCCTCTCCACCCAGTCCCTCTCCACCCTCCCCTCCCCACCCAGCCCCTCCCCACCCTCCCCTCTCCACCCAGCCCACCCCTCCCATTTTTGGATGCACGACGGACGGACGGACACAATAATCCCCTGTGGGCTGGTGTAACCAGGAGGTTCCTACCAGTAAAAGTGGCTCTTGTCATTTTGATTGCCGAGCCTTGGTGAAATCAGTCTGTGTGGCTAACGGTGAAACGTGTGCACGTGCGTTTGCAGGCCACGAGGTGGCGTTCGCCTCCTTCCTGTGCTGCCTGTGCAAGATTGGCTTCCTCAACGCTCATGACCAGGCAGCCATCGTTTTCAAGGTGTTTGAGAGGTGAAGAGGGCACGTTGAAAATCAAGCACAACATCCACCAATGATACTCGGGCCGCCATTGATAATGTAAACAAATTATCGTATGTGCAGGTTTTCATTGGGTACTCCAATTTACTTCCACTTAAGCAACTGGCTTAAACATCCCAATGCAGGAACCGACTGAAGTATAATTTTAAAACTTGATGGTAGATGTTCTGAGTTTAGGTTATGCTTGACCCTTTCCCATTCCGAGACGTCTGTAAGTTGCAGGGTGGGTCCCTTTCACCGCTGAATCTCGGAACTTGCAAGCGGCTCAGCATTAATTTTATTTATAGAATCATAGCACCATTGTTTTTCAAGACATTGTTACTCACTGCAGAGAACCGTAGCGACACGACCGCACTCTACGATAGCTGGCGCCAAACTGTCCTACATGCCCTCCCGCATGGCCTTGTGGGAGCCTCGGTACCGATTAACATTTTTTATATTAGTTTTTTTTCTGATTCCGTTCTGATGATGTACAAACGTGTACTTCATTGGAATGGGAGAGGGTTAATGTGTTTCATATTTACGTCAACTAGGAAGCACTGTGATAGGCAATATGTTAAATTCTTGATAGATAATCCACACCGTGAAATGCATCTTCACAATTTGTGGAAAGTCATCAGTGGTTGTCACTTGGAGAGCCTGCTACCCACTATAGGAATGGGGAATTTCTGCTCCTGGCATTACCCAACGCTCCTTTGGCCATGGAAATTATTTAACTCTTATACAATATACTGTATTGTTAAAAGTATACACAGATGAATACATGAGTGAGTTTGAAGTGTATGTGCCAACATGTTTGTGTGCGAATGTGTGTGCGTCTGTTTAATCAAGCTAGATTGTCTGAGGAGCTCACATGTCCTTGAAAGATCTGGACATAGCCTATTGGTTAGCTCCTCCGGAAGGCAAGGCTGCATTGGCTGGGGCATGTAGCCTGCATGCCCAGTAACCGCATGCCCAAATAGCTTTTTTTGGCTGGCTAAACGTGTGTGGCATGAGCTAGAGAAGAGATGGACTGGTGTGGTACAGGAGGATATGGAGCTAAGTGGCCTTTCCGATGACTGGTACCAGTGGTGTCAAGATCGGGCTCTGTGGAAAATGCTTGTGAAGGATGCTACTGGGCAGTTGGCGGCAGTCGCCCTCCAGCAACAGCAGAGAGCAGATGGCAGCTAAAATGCAGCAAGTTGGCAAAGGGTGGGGGGGGGGGCACAGGTGGTGCATCTACCAGTCAGCTCAGTTAGTCAACCCATGTCACTTGGGTCTGTCCTGTGACCTACCAGCGAGCCTTCGACACTTCACGTGGCCTCAAAGTGCACATAGTCTGGTACAAGCACCGTGGTGATGTCACCGCCACTTGGTGGCGATTAGCGGTTTTTGTTGTTGTGGGTCTGTCAGAATCAGAATCTTTTTGTAGACTGGAGGAATCCGATGAGCTGTGAAGCTCTTTTTAACAGATGCATATAAATGTGTGTGTAAGGAAAGTTTCCAGCGTTATTCTGGCGACCTGGGTATAGTTCTTTACAATGGGTAGCAACATTGTCAAGTGGTACTCAAAGCCTATATTGGCCTTTTACAAGGTCAACTTCACTTTAAATGACGTATATGATGCAGTCAGTAAACATCAGCATTTGGAAGACAAAGGTGGTGGGGCACAATGCTGACCAAACTACCCACTTTCGTACAACGGCAGCCCTAATAGGCACTTGATAACGGCACTTGACCCATTAATCTATAAGCATATGCAAAGCTTTTTGCCTTTCATGTACTTGACTGCCTAACCCTCACCTCTGCCGACTTGAAAGTTTTAAAAAGGACTAAATGGATGACTGACCCCCTGCACTCACTCTCGCGCGCCGCCGCTCGGATTACGTTTTAATATTGCCGGGGAGCTCCGCACCTGGGCAAACACGGCTACCCAGCGCAGCTCTGCATTAAATATTTACCATGAGCGGCATCGTTTTAATGGAAAAAAACCCTCCCTCTTTAGTTTAATGAGGTCGCTGATATACAGGGAACAAAAGAAGAGTGCCTATGACTTGCGTGACTTGCAGGCTCGAAGCATCACTTAAACGAACATTTGCCATGTTACTGTATGTGCACGAGGAGTCCGTAACATCGCCGCATGTTGTTGTTGCTGCCTCATATTTTAATTGTCACCTTTCCATTGTCGTGCTGCGCTTGAGCCCCCCCTCCTGCTTTCCCAGGGCTATTTTGTGAATGGTGGAATTCATGTCTCGCTAGAAATGAAATGGTTCTACATCATTACGTAATTATAAAAAAAAAAATGTGTTTTATAGTGACAGCTTTTCTTATAATGATATGGGTATGCTGTGAAGCAAATTATGTTATAATGGTGGTAATTATGATTATGGTTTTGGTGATGATGATTATATTAGAGTCATGGTGGTACTGATGATCATGATATAATGACGACGAGTTATATTGGCAGTGATCCTTTTCATGATGATTATGGTGATAATTGCAATAGTGGAGGTGGTAATGATGTAGAACATAGTGTTTATGATATTCATCATGGTCGTGTTCACTATGATGGTGGTTATGCTAATTATTTTATGATAATAACAATGGCGGTAATATGATGAGTTGATTGTTTATAAATTTACAGCCCTCTGTCAATCCACTGCTGAATGAAGGCCCACCCCAAGCCATGTTGGTCTTTGGGGGTAGTTAAACTCCGCTTCACCACGCCAGTCTGTATGGGTTGGTGAAGTGGGGGGGGGAAACAGGACCGGTTCAGATATCATTCGCTACTAACGTTAGCCAGGAACTGAATTCGAATCGCCAATCTCAACTCCTAATGGCGGGATATCAATGAAGATCGTGATCATTGTAATGCCATTTCTATGGTACGACCTCATACCACCTCATGCGTGTTTGAGAATCGAGCCACTTTGATCGGGCTATTCGTGGTTATTGGTGATGGTGGTGATAATGGCAAGGCATTGATGATGCGTACATTGATGCAAACCCCTGCTGTGTAGGTACCTTTGCGTGATGAGGCGGCTACAACAAACGTACCGCATGGAGCCGGCCGGCAGCCAGGGAGTGTGGGGCCTCGACGACTTCCAGTTCCTGCCCTTCCTGTGGGGCAGCGCTCAGCTTATAGGTGCTGACCGCACGCACGCCGCAACTCACACTCAGGAACCCCATGGTGGAGAGATGTTATCTACCTTGCCAGGTATACAGGAGGTCATATACGCCTGTATATTTGGAGTTTGCGGTGTCTCTCTCCCCGTGGTCGCATGGATTTTTGTCTGGGTCCATCCACTTTTAGAAATATTTGTTTAGAGTATAAATGTGATAAGCCACTTTGTTGAGCTATCTTTTGTGGCCATGTCGCTTCTAAAAGAAGAATTCTATAGATAAGTGGGCCTTACCTGGTAAAATAAAATAAACTTTTGGGGCAAGTGCTGTTGGCGCGCACGTATGAAGGCCGGCACGGCACACGAGGTGGTGGGTGTCTAATACCACGCACGACTACCTTTCGTCTCCCCGGTACTGATATTTTGACACGTGCCAGGTACTCATTTGAGGCTGAGTTCACCTCAAGAATGCCCACAATCAGTTCAATTGTTTGCCAGTGTTCATTGGTCATGAGCGGGAATCGACCTCAGGTCGCCCGGATTCGTTGCGCAGCGTGCCAAGCACTACACTACCGCTCCCCACAGGAACACATAAACACACACATGCACATATGGACATGCGTACGCATGCGAGAGCAACAACAGCAGTCGCCATTAAGTAGCGATGACTGCACCAAGGTGCTTGTGGTGCACTTTTGAGGCCTCTTGAAGTGGCGAAGGCTCGCTCGCTCGCTGGAGGTGGCACATGCGCATGAACACTCATGTAAGCACGCGCAGCAATACTTGCAAGCTCACACGCACACCAACTTTTAGCGAAAGTGTTGTTAGAGATCACCTATTAAAGCCGGCATGGCGCACCAGGGGATGATGTGGCCAGGACTATATCAAGCCACCTTTGTCTCCCCATCGCTCATGTTTACACATCACATCCAGGTCTAGGCATACCTCGTATAGTGCTCGGGATGCGTTCCTGGTAAATGGAGCGCGAAATATACGAAACAGCGCTATAGGAGGTCATTGTCACATGGTTCCAAAGTAGATGCGTACCAACAGCGCTATTTTTCTTCTTACCTATAAGCGATAATTTGAGGGCTTTATTTGGTTATCGGCCTTAATCATCAACACTGTGCACATGATAAATGTATTAAAGCATTTTATGCTAAAATACAGATGCAAGCGCGTGCATCGATGCCAATGTATTATTCCTTTAATAGTACCCTGTGTTGGTGGGGTGTAACTATAATACCAGTAGGCGTGGAAGTGTATTGCGATTTAAGTCTTGTGTGTTGCCTGCAATGCGCTGTGCCGCTGAGTTGAAGCCCCATGGCCCTGCCATCCGCAGACCATCCCCGCCTCGAGCCCAAGCACTTTGTGGACCCGGCGGTGGTGAACGAGCATCACAAGGACTACCTCTTCTTCCAGTGCATTCACTTCATTAACCAGGTAGCTGGCGTGCACATGGCATCGACTCTACCGCGCAGTGTCCTCAAGGATTGTGTTATCAAGCCGGGCGTGGTGGTGGTGGTTGTGGTGGCGATGGTGGTGCACACCTGTAACCTAGTGCTGTGCGGGAAAGGTGTGGTGGATCACAATTCAGCAATCCAGATCTGAGGATTGAATAAAATTTGAATTTTCATAGAGAAACATGGTAAAGTGGTTTCCCTGCTTAAATTTGCTTTTTGTGGGGCTCATCTATTTAGGTAGCCCTGCAGTTGGTGGTGTTAATCCCTGTTACCATGGCAGGGGCCAATCTCTCCATAGTATGACCACCTTTAATACTGGTAGGAACCTCCTGGTTACACCAGCCCACAGGGGATTATTGTGTCCATCGTGCAGGGAGGGGCGGGGTGGGGAGGGGCTGGGTGGTGAGGGGCTGGGTGGTGAGGGTGGGGCTGAGTGGGGAGGGGAGGGTGGGGAGGGGCTGGTCACCCCGTGGTGCCCTTATAAAACTCAACGTTTAACCTACTCACGCCGGCTTGTGCCCGCCCTCACAGTCGGGCATATTTGCGGAATACACCACGCCGCCGTTGACCCTGGCCATTGACCAAGCAACCCAACGTTCCTAGCAGCTCCCTTCGCAGGAATGTGTTTTCTCAGTGTCACTGATTGCATCAACTACAGAGGGATGATGATGATGGGCAAAGTTGACCCCAGACTGGTGACCTGATAGTAAATCAGGCAATTTCGCCACAGTGCCATCCGACCATGTGTAAGACTAAAGTAAGTATACCCCACGGCGCCATTGCGGTCACCAATCTTATACCATGGACCACATAGTAATACCACTAACTACTTGAATCTTTCGCCAGCAACATCATTAATTAATATATGCACCGGGCTACTCCTGAAGCTGGATCTGCTGGCTCCACCCACCAACACGCATGTATTAAGTGTTGATCATTATCGACTATCCCCATCACACTAAAGAAGATGGTGCAACAGGAGGGATATAAACTAAACTATTAACTATTTTTATTTTACCAGGTAAGGCCCACTGAGCTACATAGCTCTTTTTCACAAGCAACCTGGCCACAAATGATAGCTCAACGAAGTGGCTTATCATGTGAAAATGGATAGTAGCCAAATACTCTAAACGCGTGTTTCTAAATGTGGAGGGAAAAACCGGAGGGCCCGGATAAAAATCTACGCAACCACAGGGAGAACAGACAAACCTTCAATATACAGGCGTCAGGGTCAGGATCGAACCCACAACCTCTTGCATGCCAGGCGAGCCAGGTAACATCTCGCTTAACATTTCGCCACCGCGTGTGCCTGTGCGCAAATGTGCGTGCCATTCAGATGAAAACGGGCCCGTTCGCCGAGCACTCAAATCAGCTGTGGAACGTGAGCGCTGTGGTCTCCTGGAATAAAGTCAACACGGGTCTCGTGCGCATGTACCGTGCTGAGGTGAGCGACTGCATCCCGTTGCTGCTGCTGCAACACAAAAAAAGAGACAACCCCGAAAGCAGTCGGCTCCGATCCCTTGAGAGAGCTCCAATCTCTCACGCGCGCACGTGTAGCAGGGCTACGCATAGCATATCACATGGTCTCCCACACGAGTTCGAAGCTCCGTTAATGAACGACAACGTCTGAAAAGTCGATGAAGTCCAACGCATTGTTCTTCCGCTCTGTTGACACCGTGGTGATGGGTAACCAGGGTATCATATCTCACGCGATATTTTCTGCAACGCTGCTAGGCTGGCTTGGGGTAAGGCACTACCACGAGAGACCAAGGTATACCTATCCATCGTTATTCTAGGCTATGATACCCTATCGGCTTATAATCCTACAAGCAGGTTTGTAAGAATATCGGGTACAAAGAGCACAAAGTAAGGCAAAATGGATGTGGAATGCTAAAATAATTTCTGGAACAGCGTTCTGAAATCAAGTGCTAGATGTAACTCCCATACAAGTTCAGTACACCGTCGGCGCAACTCCGATTAGCATGGTTGGCTACGTACGGTACGAAAAAAGTTAAACATGCATACAATGCAGCGATGTGCACACAAATGTCCTTTTTCAAGTTTAATTTGTGCGCGTTATAAATTTCTGAATGAATTAAGGATTCATAATAAACGTTTTTGGGTTAGATCGCGTTATTTATAAATGTGTCGTAACGCTCCACCACCCGACACGGCCAATCAGTAAAAACGTGTCACGTTGTGGATTCACTCTTCAACACACCGGTGGGCTAAAGTAGTGAACTATTTTGTCTTTTGTCAACGTGACACTTTTTTACTGATTGGCCGTGTCGGGTGGTGGAGGGTTACGACACATCTATAAATAACGTGATCTAACCCAAAAACTTTATTATGAATAATATTGGTCATGATAGCCTACATGTTAAATTGAATTAAGGATGTCATTAAGTTGCTACGACACAGCCCATGACCGTGAATTTAAAGGATTTTTTTCACTCCTACTTTTTAGGGATGTAGTTTGAGTAGCAAATCGTTCTTCGATATCCAAATTTGTAATCAAATTGATGGCTTGAGGGTACAATAGCCATCTGGCACTCGCACCTCATAAGATGCTCGTGTAAACAAGTTTTAAGGCTGATGAACGGGGTCAATGAGAACTCGTGTTGAAAAGCCTGGGATACACAGCCCGAGTACAGATCTAGGAGATGAGATAAGAGCTGTTCGTCCTTCGGATATTGTCCACACTGTGCCAAAACCCTGTATTCATGTTGCACAGACACACGGGGACTTGACAGCAAAGAATAATGCTTGGTAGCTGCACTGCAGCTGTTATCTCTGCCATCTCTGCCCAACATAATTGTGCTGATAATTGGTTCTTTACCCTTCTATCTGGCAACAAAACTGACACCTTTTTACAAGGAGTCATGTTTGCATAGACCGCAATACCTGCAGTCATAAATACAAACAAAAGACATAACTCTGATAATGTGCACTGTCCTTGAAGTTGATTGGTCCACACCCGAGACAGCTTTTGTTGCCAGATAGAAGGGTAAAGAACCAATTATCATACTTTTACTGGCAAATGAGGTCCCCATAGAGTATAATTGTGCTGATTGAAACACTCGGCGGAGTTTTTGAATGTAATTAGGTTTGGAAGCCGATAGCATATGGTGACACACGGCTGTAATCCACCGTTTTGGAGGCAAGCGTTTTGTGGATCATAGAGATTTGAGAGACTTTGCAGATGATCAAGAGGTGGCGGAGCACCAAGTTGGTGCATTAACCCATCTGTGTGGCGTTTTGTTGTTTTCTATGAATGTGTATGTGTTCCCCCGCACGCTCGGGTTTCTTCTCACATGCGCAAAACCTTCCTAAAATGAATTGACCTAGTCGTTCCAATGCGGGATCCACCATAAACATAGTTCTGTGTTAACCCTTTCCCGTTCCGATGACGTCTGTGTAGCTCAAAAACGAAGATAAAATAACTTTATCGATACCGAGAAATCCACAAGGCCATGCGGGGGGGGGGGGGGGGGGGGGGCGTGGCACAGTTTGGCCTCAGCGATCATAGAGTGCAGTCGTGTCGCTGCAGTTCTCTGCGGTGAGTACAATGTCTATAAAACAACGGCGCTGCGCCTCTAGATTACATTAATGCTGAGGCGCTTGCGCGTTACGAGATTCAGCAGTGAACGGGATCCACCCTGCAATTTGTAGACGTCTCGGAACAGGACATCATTACATTGCAGTGGTGGGCCATGAGATGCCAATGCTACACAATATATGGCTGTACTGTTCTCTGTACTCCTCCCGGCTGTGCTCCCCACGTTCACTAACCTACAACAGCCAGCATGATGAAGTATGGTTAAATAACCCTGACGACCCGGAAGGGTATGGGGGAGGACCTCATCCAATGGTATTATTCACAAAATGTGCTCCACATTGAGTGCACATTTCAACGGTTAAAATTCAACTCGGTGTCTCCTGCTGAGCAAAGCAATGTGACCACTCATTCATCACGGTCGGCAGTGGGGAATGCCACCACTGATGGTGCTGAACAGCGTTTTCCAAGGGAACCAGGCACCGTCAAAAGTACATTTTCGCTCTCATTTTGTTTGTGCCATCATTACTGCTGATTTCACCAAGATAAAAATGTAAATTGGGTTACATTGCATGATCACAAATGCCGTTAAATCATGCCAAATTCGTAAGGTTTGTCACGTGAACAAAACATGCCAATTAGTTACTACTTCAGCACACCGGTGTGTTGGAAAGTAAACCCACAACATTTACAATTCGAGTACGACGTTTCTCTGGCGATTACAACCAGCTTCATCAGGCGACAGCCATAATTGTGAAGAAGTTCTCCTGTTTCGGTCTTAAACAGAAGAGTCAAAGGTGATGTCATCACAGTGAACCTCTCAGGTGTGAAGACCACGTCTGCATGCATCGGGAAAATTAGTCGTAGTTTAGTCATGATGTCACTCGAGGGTAAGGTGGCAGGTTTCATGCCAGAAAGTACGCTTACGTCCTAATCGATTATTTAAACTCGCATTTAACTGCTAGGGTTACACGCCTAGTTGTTTACTGTTTTGCACCCCTATTTAATATTAATATTGGGCTTGGTGGCACTGTGTAAGAAGAGCACAGCGGGGAGACGGCCTTTATTTTGACGCTTCTAATCCGTTGTGTTTTTCTGCGGCCACAATCCTCTTGCCTATTCCCCCTCCTGTCCACAGTGTCTGGAAAAGTTCCCGGTCATCCAGCATTTCAAGTTTGGAAGTTTACTCTCAATACAGCCGGTCACCAAGTAACAACCGGCATTCGCTCGCTCGCTCGCCCACCCGCACGCACGCACCACCTCGCCCCCATGGAACACATGCCTGACTATTTTTGGAAAGTCACATCAAAGGGACTAAAGTAAACTATTATGTAAGAGAGGGAGGAAACAGCAGTCCATGAAAATGAGCCTTCACATTTGAAATTTAATTGTATACTTTAAGGATTGCATTTCAGATTGGAGTTGTGCGCTGTGTGGAATGCCCAAGGGATTGGCTTCTCAGCCTGCATGTCAGGTTTATGAAAATTATTTTTAGCACAGTGCCTCAGTGTGAGGAACTGCAGGGTCGTGAGTGATTCAAATGCATATGCCGCGTATTACGTCACGCATGGTAATAGGATCATTAACCACCACTGTCATTTTTTTAATCATCAAGCATATGCCAAGTAGGAGGGTGAGGGCAGTTTTGTTCTTACATGGACCCGTCAGTGTAGCTCAAAAAGAATCCACTTTTACCCAGAAAGCACTTATGTGAGCAGACTATCTGGCAAAACCTAACTTTGGCAGCTATGATAGTGAATACTTAGATAACTCTCAATCATTGAGCGTTTTAACGAGGTGAGCTCATTAAGACTGTAGTTTTATTGGAAAGGGGGATAATGTCCAAGCAAACATACAAATGCACTCGGCAGCCCAACCCCATAGCAGATATTGAAGTACGCAATGTAGCAAGCAGGCTACTGGATGACACATGTTGGCAAGGGCCTCGTCTCATAATGTAATTAATCTACTTCAAGTTATGAACCCATCATTTCATCGTACATTGGTGATATCGATTCCTTTCGCCATATTCTGCAAAATATACTTGGGCCACCTAACCCGCCTAGGCAGCGAGGGGGGGAATCCACGAATGGAATTGGTTAAATGGACGTGTGCAACTTATTTTATGTGTGGCTTTCAAAATGTGGAAGGTCCATTTTGAAACGTTTAACCTCGTTAGTCCCAGCAGCCAAGCGGGCATGTAAACGTTTATTTTGTTTTGCAAAAAAAAAAACATCCCGCATACCCTGTGGTAAGTTTCTGCTTTCCTCCATGAAGCACACTGGCTGTCAAGGAACCACCCCGAGGGAATTGTATGAGGGCAGTGTATCGAGTTCACGGCGGAAGATATGCTGAAAATGCACGCACGTGTAAATGCCATTGCCGTGATCATTAAAATCAATGGACCTGAAGTCCGGGCGGTGGATTGAAATGTGAGCCAATTGGAAATTGATGTTGTGATTGTCTTGTATTTGGTGCTGCTGCTGTGTACACGTGTGTGGGGCTATTGAACATGATCAGGATTACTATTGCGACGACGCTATTGGGTGTGAGGAGCGGTAGTATTGTGGTGAGCACACCACACCATGAACCAGGAAACCTGAGTTTGATATCTGGCCGCAGCTTATATCGGTAGTGATTATCAGAACTGGTCCTGGGTTTCCTCTCGGCCGACTCAGCCTTAGTACCGAATGTGGTGTGTAGACATCAAGACTGGGAAGACAAGGTGGCTAGGTATGGCACCGGCCACACCACCTCATGCACTGTGCTAGCTTTCATAGGTGCTCGCTAACGGAACTTGCCCCAACACCCTGAGTAGGCTACATGCGGCGGGAGCGGGGAGTTCTTTGTGTGGGTATCGGTAGCGTTTAGTATTTTGGTGGTTGGTTAATGGTTAGCACACTGCCTCAATCCCAGTGGCTTCGATTTCATTCCTGGCCCTGCACAAATCAGTGGCACGTGGCATGTCCTGGGCCTACCTTAGGTTGACTCAGCCTTAGTTGGGAGTCACCTCTGGTTCCGTGTACAGTACTCCCCTTTGAACCATCGGATATGCCGCTCCTGTATGTACCATGAAGATATTGCTTTTTTTTTACGAACAGCAATTGCCCTGACAGTCTGTATGGCTAAACAAAAAATCTCTGCATTTGTGAGGATGTGTTTACAGTACTTTGGACCTTCACCAGGTATCTAAAGTCAAGGTGTTGGTTCTGATTAAATTCCCCACACCTTCACTGCAGCAAACAAAACCCGTGGTGTCTGTAACCCTACCTGACCCCACATGGGCTTCACAAGACTCGCCTCGCAAAAACAGTGCAGAGCACGTGTAGTGCATAGGCAAGTCGCCATGGTGTTGAGATGTTAAGTACCTTGCCTGGTATACAGGACGTCGTGGGTTCATTCCCGACCCTAACGCCTGCTGTATATTTTGAGTTTGCATGTCTCTCCCAGTGGTCGCTTGGATTTTTCTCCAGGTCCTCCGATTTTCCCCTCCACATTTCGAAACATGCGATAAGAGTATTTGGCTGCTATACATTTTCACATGATAAGACACTTCGTTGAGTTATAATTTGTGATTGCCAGGTCGCTACAGGAAAAAAGCTACACAGTTCAGTGGGGCCTTGCCTGGTAAAACCCAGGTCTGTTAAACCTTAACACCTGGGTCTGGCCCATGACCTGATACTGAGCTTTTATGGCTATACACCTACAGTCAATTTGTCATTTCACTGCCGGATGGAAGCCTCTCCACGCCGTGTGAGCCATACGTGTATTTGACCATACTTCACACTGCATTGGTGAATGTGGGGGGGGGGGGGGGGAGTCAATAACGTAGGATGTTGCTCCACTGCCCTCTATTGCCCACAATGCCTAATTTAATTATGCGGTGTGGTCACCCATACCAAGCACGATCCAGGCTCAACCCTGTTTAGCTTCTGAGGTCTTTGAGGTCTCTCGGCATGGGGTGCATCCCGGGTGAATTTGTCATCGATTGTGTTACTCCGCACGGCCTCGGACTGCATATTGCATGGCACAGGTGCGAAGTTGCCGTTACCGCCACGATGTGGCAATTGACGGTGGGGAGATTTGGGAGCGGCGAGATGTTACATACCTCGCTTGGTGTGCAAGAGGTCGTGGGTTTGATCCCGACCCTGACGCCTGTTGTGAATTTGGAGTTGGCGTGTATGTTTGTGGTTACGTGGATTTTCTCCGGTTCCTCCGGTGTTTTCATATTTATAATCCGCACGCGTTTAAGAGTATTCGGCTGCAATACGTGTCCACGTGATAATAAGCCACTGCGTGCATTCATATTCTTGGTTCTTTTGGTAAAGTCGCGTAGAAGGGAAAGAACCAAGAATATGAATCCCTGCAGTCACGAAAGCTTTAAATCGAAATTTAAATCCACTGCGTGGAGTTATCAAGTGTGGCCACGTCGCATCTGAAGAGATTTCTATACAGCCGAGTGGGCCTTACCTGGTAAAATAAGTTTATTTTAATTTCGGGAGTGGCGGTTTTGTGATCTGTGGCACTGCGTTATGATCCTGGCGAACTGCGTATTCGATTGTTGGCCTTGCAACACGACTGCCAGTTTTCACTCTGAACTTGACCTGGACCTCTCCATGGTCACCTAGGCCGATAATGACGACGTGTTGCAGTGTGTACGCATCATCGCTGGGGGAGACGAACACGACCAGGCATGTGGTTGCGGTCTGACCACGTGTGAGTATGTGTTTACAGTACGTACTATGGACCTTGACCAAGTCACTGAAGCGAAGTCTGACCCCCACCCCTTTGTGTGCCATGCTGGCTTTAATAGGTGCTCGCTAAAAGCACTTTCCCCGGCAGTTTGTGAGGCTTAATGGGGCGGGATAATTTTTTTTACGTGTGCATGTGCAATTGTAAATGTAGTGCTGTTGACGATGGGAAAGTTTGGACAGCATCAACAGTTCACATCCCTAACTCGTAATACTTGGTCGTAAACATCTACGGTGTATTATTGACCAGAGCGTTGCCGGATTTTGTCAAGTGGCTATTAAACATACCGTTTCGCATGTTTTTTGTTTAACCAGGTGAGAAATCGTGAGACCAAGATACTCTTTATTTGCAAGCGTGACCTCGGGCATTATTAGTCTGTCAGTAGGGGGCGGTGATCGCTGATGTTTATAATCCCAATTGAAAGATTTCAAGGTAATTTTCACATTTGGACCCCGACATCAGCACACAATGGCCTACTCTTGCGAATGACCTCAGGAGATCTTTGGCATGCACTGTGAAACAGACGGCGGGTATTATTAGAACTACGGCTCATGCACGCGCAGTAAAGTGCTTGCCACAAATGAACCGCAAATACCTTGCTGATTTCGTCGAGCATAAACCATCACGCAAACGCTGGTCATCCTCGCAGCGGCTTTTGGTTAACCTTTGAAAAAAAGATGGTAACTGCGTCGTGCGCTTTCAGATGCGCTTCTGCGGCCGTCTGGAATGCTCTTCCGATATTAGGAAGCCACTGGAGTTCTGCCCTTTTAAATCTAAATTAAAAAACGAATTTGTTTAAAACTGCTTTATGTGTTTAGTTTGTCCTTTCCCCCGCACCTCCGATTAGCACGGTTGGTTACGTATCGTGGGAAAGAAGTCCACCATACATACAATCAGGGCGGCCGCTGATTTTGAACCACCAATCTTTGCAACGAGTGCCGAATGCACGACAGCGAGGCCTTGTTACTGCCCACCGTGATGACAACATTTGTAAGAGTAGTCCGTATACTTATCCCAAATAACAGATCTGAAACACTCATAAGAAAAACTCTGGTTTGACACTGGCTGGAGTTCTCAAGTCCTCGGGAAGGTTGAGCTTTCAAATTCTAGTCGAGCATCGGCTCACCACTTTCATCCTGCCAAAGTTGATTAAAAATGAGTTCCACTTTGCAAAAAGGATGCAGTTGTCATCCTTTGTAAATACTGTTCCTTGCCATGAGAATGTAGATATTACACCACTGGCTCAGGATTGCCAACAGATATGAGCAATGTTTCGTTGATCATTAGAGCAGGAATACAATGACTGCTGAGAGAACCAATATACCACTTATTTAACCAAGTTAATAACTTACCATGAATGACTAAAGTCACAGTATCCCATCTAATGTAAGATCGTTCATCTTGGCCTGTCAACGCCTGCGAGTATCCGTCCAGAATTGGTGACCTGCTCCGTCATGTCTGCCTTGTTTATTGTGCATCTGCTGTGTTGACAGTTTGCATTTTCGCCTGCCCTCTTTGTGACTGTTATACATTGCCAGTAAACGACTGAATTTAAAGCCTTGAAATACACTGCCTGTCTGAAAATGCGTTCAGCTCTCGGGATAATTGAATGCATCAGCGTGAAGTGACTTCTCGACTAGACCATGAAGACCGACGCTGTGAGCTGAGGTCATAGCCTCATGGATACGGTCTTCGTTTAGTGATTTTGGTCCCTGAGTTCAGATTGCAGACGTGAGTTTTTTTTTACATTAATTTCAAAAAGAAATATTGCTGTGGTTGTCACACCTGATGATGATTGCTTGTGTTGCAATCGAAACGTCGTGATTTATTCATTTATATTTAATTTAATTTTTTCGTCTACGTGACTTTACCGAAATAACCTTGCATTCACGAAAACTTCAAATCTAGAATACATTAATTTTGTGATCCTACCAGGTAGTGTGTTCATGAACGTCTCCGATTAGTGTTTTTTTAACAGAGTACTGGTCACACTGGTAAGCGTGGTTGTGATCTCGCTCCAGTTTAACCAAACGTGCACAAGTGATGAGCGCATAATTGCTGAAAGTATGGAAGTTAAGAAATACCATCAGGTGACCTACGTCAAACACCAGCAGCAGCGGCTGACAACTTAATCTCATCGAGCGAAAAGGTGAACTGCTCCGTCGACTCCGAAGGAAGCTTCCATCAACGTGGGGTTGAAATGACGGACATCGTGCCGAGCAACGCACGGCGCAACCTGAAAACGCGGTTGCGACATGTGATCTTCCTCGCCTGGTATCAGAATCAGAAAGGGTTTTATTCGCCATGAAAGTTCGCACAGACAAGGAATTTACTTTGGCCAGAAGGTGCATACATTCAACATATAGGAATCTTAAATCTTAAATAAGTGGTTTACAAGTCTAACTATACTAAGGAGGGTCGTGGGTTCGATCCCGACCCTGACGATGCCTGTTGTATATTTGGAGTTTGGTGGCACGGATCTTTTCATCCGGGTCCTCCGGTTTTTCCCTCCATATTCGGAAACATGCATTTAGATTATATGTCTGCTACCATAAATTCCTACGTGTGATGATGATATAAGTCACTTTGACGAACTATCATGTGTAGCCAGATCTCTTCTGGAAAATAGCTCAGTGGGCTTTGCCTGGCAATTGAAAGTTTACCAGACGTGACAAAAAATTATTTCATGTTTTACA